TCACCAGGTCCGCCAGCCACGCCTCGGCCACCCCCGGCAGGAATCGCAGAAACGTAGGACTCGAGCTCGCCGGAGCTCGGGCCCGCCGGCGCTCTTCGACGGGTCCGTCTCGGACCTCGACGGTCTGGTTTTCGTGGGGTGCTTGCAGCGGGAGCTCGCGTCAGAGCTCAGACTGGCTCGCGTCGTTTTCCTGACGGCCCCATCAGGCCACCTCTGTAGGCCTCCAAGATGGGGTCGGAGCAGATGGGGCCAGAGGATCGTGCCGCGTCGCCGATGCATCGCCGATGCGGCCCGATGTAGAGCTCGATTTGCTTCACGTCGACGTCGCCAATGCACCGCTGACGTCGACGATGCATCGCCGGTGCATCGCCGATGCAATGTCGGTGCATCGTTGATGTATCGGCGATGCGGCGCGACCCTCCGACCCCATCTACACGGACCCCATCTAGGAGGTCTCTCATCTCGAGTCCTCCATCCTCGAGTCTTGCCGAGACGTGCGACTCGATCTTTTCCATACGCGGCCCCTGGATGTCCCGACCCTCTCCCCAGGACCGGTTTCTCATCCTGGGTAGTTTTAAGTCGGGTGCTGGCCCTCCACTAGAGGAGTACTCAAGAATAGCACAGTATTAGCATGGTGGCGATTTGTCCTGCCTCGTGTTGGTTATTTTTTGTGGATTGAAAATCTGCATTCCAAAATCCTCCTGTAGGAGGACATGCCCGACCTCACCCGAGTAGTTCTGTTGACTGTCCGGGGCCCGGGGAGGACCCCCAGAAGCCGAAAGCAGAGAGAAATTTCCCACCCTGAGGTTTCCGCGACGCCACCATGTTTGGGCGCGCCTCCGCGCAGGAGGGCACCATCTGCACGTGGTTCGACTGGGTCTGCGACCCCTCCTGGGGCTTCGCCAAGCTGTGGGAGCTCCACGGCCTGTTACGGTGGCTCGGGCGCGGCAGGGGATGGCGAAGCTTGATAGACCTCCTACCCTGTCACGTCGATTAGCGAATTGGCCGTTCTCGGTTCGCGAGAGGGCGTCGCGGCCGTCATTTTTGCGAGTCCAGGTCCGTCGGTTTCGGTCCTGTGCCGTTTTCACTAAACGGTGCTTTACGAAAGGGAGGTCTGTCCACCGCCGAGGGCGGCGGAGGAGGCAGGGACAAAGAGATCGAGATGTCCGGCACATGTGCAGCAGGCTCGTCACCCAAAGCTTGCCCCCAGACACGCGCGCGTCGTGAACAAAAAGCAGGGCCAGAGCTTTTTGGGCCCCAGAAGCGGCAGGGCCGTTTTTTTCCACCGTTTCCAAAAACATTTCTCTTTTGAAAATGGAAACTGCAAAGAAACGGCGACCAGAAACACCAAAAAACGGCTCCAGGATTGGAACCGGAGCCGGAACTGGTCAAAAAACGGCGACGGAGCCGACAAAAAAAAAAACGGCGTCGGAAGCGGCAACAAAAACGGCAGAACAGAACCGATAAAAAAAACGGCCCCTGTCGCTTCCAGGGCCCACTGAGGTCGGGCACCCCGGTCCATGGGGGGAACGGAGGATGACATACACGTGCATCCGAGCTCGAAGGTCCGCGCGGATTCCTCTCAGGAGAACACACGGGGCCCACTGAGGGCGGGAGGCGTGCCTGCCATGTTCGGGCCGCCGGGGGCCCTCACCGGGGGGGCCAGGGCCGCCAGACGGCGGCTCGGGATGCAGCGCCAGGCCCCGGGGAGCGGGCCAGGGTCTGCGGGGACCGCGCACGGACAAAATCAGGGCGTCGCACGTCAGGGTCTCCTCCTCCTCCTCCTCCTGCTCCTCGGTCTCGCCCCTCCTCCTCCTCCTCCTCCTCCTCCTTCTCCTCCTCTTCCTCCTCCTCTTCTTCCTCCTCCTCCTCCTCCTCGTCCTCCTCCTCGTCGTCGGTCTCGCCCCTCCTCGGAGTCGTTGGTGTTGCGGGGGCCGCGTGTGGAGAAAAAATCAGGGCGTCGCACATCTGGGTCTCCTCCTCCTCCTCCTCCTCCTCCTCGTCCTCGGCCTCCTCCTCCTCCTCCTCCTCCTTTCCTCCTCCTCCTCTTCCTGCGGCGACCGCTCATTATAGATTGCCGCTGGGCTCCTCCCCCCGTCGCGCTGGGATCTGTTTGGTCGCCGAAGCGGCGGGGCGCGTCAGTCGGGCATGTCCCTCTGCAGGAGGAAAATCCTTAGAGAGTTAAAACAAATAGTCTGGCGACGATTTGTTTGCGTTTTTACTTAACAGCGAAGACTGATAGGCTTCTAGTGGTCTCAAAAGAGAGCATCATGACTCCCCAGGGGGGTCTGGGCAGATGCCGGACGGGTGCCGCGGGAATCCGGGGACTCTCCATTTTCATTGCCAGGAGCTACATTTTGACTGCCCGGAGCCAACAGAACAACACTCCCAGGCCACACTTTGAATGCCCGCAGCCAACTGTAGGCCACTTCGTGTTCCTCGTGCTCCCAGAACACCATTCCTAGGCCACATTTTGAGGCCCAGAGCCAACTGTAGGCCACTTCGTTTTCTTCGTGTTCCCAGAACACTCTCCCAGGCCACATTTTGAATGCCCGGAGCCAACTGTAGACCACTTCGTGTTCTTCGTGTTCCCAGAACACCATTCCCAGGCTAATTTTGAATGCCCGGAGCCAACTGTAGGCCACTTCGTGTTCTTCGTGTTCCCAGAACACCACTCCTGCACCATATTTTGATTGCCCGGAGCCAACTGTGGGCTACTTCGTGATCTTCGTGTTCCCAGAACACCGGTCCTGTGCCATATTTTGAATGCCCGAGCTGAGGCAGGCTGAGGCCGAGGCAAGCTGAGGCCGCGGCAGGCTGAGGCTGAGGCTGAGGCACGCCGAGGCAGGCTGAGGCTGAGGCTGAGGCAGGCTGAGGCTGAGGCTGACGCAGGCTGAGGCCGAGGCAGGCTGAGGCTGAGGCAGGCTGAGGCTGAGGCAGGCTGAGGCTGAGGCTGAGGCAGGCTTAGGCTGAGGCTGAGGCCGAGGCAGGCTGAGGCAGAGGCCGAGGCAAGCCGAGGCAGGCTGAGGCTGAGGCTGAGGCTGATGCTGAGGCATGCTGAGGCTGAGTCAGGCTGAGGCTGAGGCTGAGGCAGGCTGAGGCTGAGGCAGGCTGAGGCTGAGGCCAAGGCAGGCTCAGGCCGTGACGGGCTAAGGCTGAGGCTGAGGATGAGGCCAAGGCAGGCCGAAGCTAAGACAAGGTGAGGCTGAATGGGGGAAGGGGAAGGGGGGGGGGGGGAGGAGGGGAGGCTGAGGCAGGCTGAGGCCGAGGCAGGCTGAGGCCGAGGCAGGCTGAGGTTGAGGCTGAGGCAAGCCGAGGCAGGCTGAGGCTGAGGCTGAGGCTGAGGCTGAGGCTGAGGCAGGCTGAGGCTGAGGCACGCTGAGGCTGAGGCTGACGCAGGCTGAGGCTGAGGCTGAGGCAGGCTGAGGCTGAGGCCGAGGCAGGCTGAGGCTGAGGCTGATGCAAGCCGAGGCAAGCTGAGGCTGACTGAGGCTGAAACTGAGGCAGGTTGATGCATCCGTAGGAAGCCATAGGAATCCTTAGGAATCCTTAGGAATCCTTAGGAATCCGTGGTCATCCTTAGGAATCCGTAGGCATAGTTAAGCATCCTCAGGAATCCTTAGGAATCATTAGGATTCCATTCGATCCTAAGGCCGTTGCCACTGCGACTGTCATTGCGAATGCGGCTGCGACTGCGAGAACAGCAGAATTCTACAACTGGATTCTTACCTGAATCTTAAGGGAAATGCTTCCATACATGCTTATACACATCGCTGTTAGGTTGCTTTGCCGGGATAATTTATCATGTTGGGATATTAGTTGAGTATGTTTGTTTTCGTTGCAAATTTGCTTGTAGGGGGACGATGTGTTTGGTCGCCGAGCGGCGGGGCACGTGCCTTGCTGGGCTCGTTTGCCCGTGATCCGCGCGATGATCTGGAAGACCGGAACGGGCACTGCAAAGCCTTGATGCATCGACCCTCCCCTAAAAAAACGGACCCCCCTCCAATCGACTATACGTAAGAGTGACCTTTCGCCAGAGTGACCTTTGGTGCGAGCCCAAGGGGGTCCCCCGATTGCCGAGCGCGATGCGGTATCAGCGTCTTGCGCGCTTGTGCTTGGTTCCCCCGCAGCCCCCAAAAGGCCGCGCACCAAAGGTCACTCTTAGCCAGGGTCACTCTTGCGTGCAGCCGATCCACATGCGACCTAATATTCCAGACCCCCCCCTTTGGCGGGGCGCCTGAAGAAACCGGACCCCCTAAGCTCCAATCAAAATTCCGTAGCCAGTTTGGCTCAACGCTCGCAGCCCCCGGGGGCCGCCGGGCGAGCCATGAGGGGCCTGCTCCTGCCGCCGCCCGCGGCCGCGGCGTGGGCGCCGGCGCCGCGGCCCGGCGGCCGGGGCGGGGGCCGGGCGCCCGCGGCGGCGCCGCCGCCGCGCCCCGCGGCGCCCTCTGCGGCCGGTGGGCCCCCGCCGCGGCCTCCGGCAGGGGCGCCCAGCACCCGCCCGAGCGGCCGCGCGACGCGGGGCCGAGCGCTGGTGCTGCCCGGGCTTTGGCGCCGTGGGTCGCCGGAGGCGCCCGCGGCGGGCCAGCGGCGCATCCCGCGGGCGTGGTGGCGCTGCTGGGGGCCGCCGCCCCCGTGCTCGTCCTCAGGCGCAGAGACGTGCACTTCTCGCTTGCGGGAGGAGGTCCGTCGTGCAGAGAGCCGGGCGAGCTGGGTGAGGCGACCGAGAGGCCGAGCTGCAGGCGCTGAAACTGTCGGAGCTGAAGTGCCTGTGCCGGGAACGCTCCCTGAAGCCCGGGGGCACCAAGGCCGAGCTCGTGAGGCACATACTGCAGCTCGAGGACTCCGCGACCTCGCGGGGGGCCGAGCTGCTGGCGCAGACGCTGTCCGAGCTGAAGTGCTTGTGCCGGGAGCGCTTCCTGAAGCTCGGGGGCACCAAGGCCGAGCTCGCGGGCCGGCTCCTGCGCCACGAGGGCGGCGAGGAGAGCAGCGTCGACAAGATGCTCGACATGATCACAACAGACACTCTGTCTGCAGAGATGGTGCAGGAAGTCCCCAGCGCCTTCACCAAGGAGCTTCCCGCTCCTGGCGATATCGTCACAGGAACTGTCGTGTCCTTGGTGGAGCGGGGCGCGTTCATCGACCTGGATGATTCCAGCTGGAGAGGGCTCGTCCACGTCTCTGAAATCTCGGACACATTCATCTCGAACATCGAGGAATGGCTCACTCCGGGTGACAAGGTGACTGCGGTGGTCATCAGGGACGAGAAGAAGGACCGCAGGGTCCGGCTGTCGCTCTCCATCCGCCGCGTCGCGAGGAAGCAGATGATCACCGACGCGGACGCGAGGCTTCCCGACGGAAGACTGCTTGGTGGACCTTTTCCACAACCTATGGTCAGGCGAGCTGAGCCAGCTGATGCTTCATCTGCGGACTTGGCCGCCTTCACCCCGGAGGAGAGCAGCGTCGACAAGATGCTCGAAATGATCACAACAGACACTGTGTCTGCAGAGATGGTGCAGGAAGTCCTCAGCCCTTTCACCGAGGAGCTTCTCGCTCCTGGCGATATCGTCACAGGAACTGTCGTGTCCTTGGTGGAGCGGGGCGCGTTCATCGACCTGGATGATTCCAGCTGGAGAGGGCTCGTCCACGTCTCTGAACTCTCGGACACATTCATCTCGAACATCGAGGAATGGCTCACTCCGGGTGACAAGGTGACTGCGGTGGTCATCAGGGACGAGAAGAAGGACCGCAGGGACCGGCTGTCGCTCTCCATCCGCCGCGTCGCGAGGAAGCAGATGATCACCGACGCGGACGCGAGGCTTCCCGACGGAAGACTGCTTCGAGGACCTTTTCCACAACCTGTGGTCAGGCGAGCTGAGCCAGCTGATGCTTCGTCTGCGGACTTGGCCGCCTTCACCCCGGAGGAGAGCAGCGTCGACAATATGCTCGAAATGATCACAACAGACACTGTGTCTGCAGAGATGGTGCAGGAAGTCCTCAGCCCTTTCACCGAGGAGCTTCTCGCTCCTGGCGATATCGTCACAGGAACTGTCGTGTCCTTGGTGGAGTGGGGCGCGTTCATCAACCTGGATGATTATGGCTGGACTGGGCTCGTCCACGCCTTTGAAATCTGGGACATATTCATCTCGAACATCGAGGAATGGCTCACTCCGGGTGACAAGGTGACTGCGGTGGTTATCAGGGACGAGAAGAAGGACCGCAGGGACCGGCTGTAGCTCTCCATCCGTTGCGTCGCGAGGAAGCAGATGATCACCGACGCGGACGCGAGGGTCCCCGACGGAAGACTGCTTGGTGGACCTTTTCCACAACCTATGGTCAGGCGAGCGGAGCCAGCTGATGCTTCGTCTGCGGACTGGGCCGCCTTCACCCCGGAGGAGAGCAGCGTCGACGAGATGCTCGAAATGATCACAACAGACACTGTGTCTGCAGAGATGGAGCTTCCCGCTCCTGGCGAGATCGTCACAGGAACTGTCGTGTCCTTGGTGGAGTGGGGCGCGTTCATCGACCTGGATGATTCCGGCTGGACTGGGCTCGTTCACGTCTCTGAACTCTCGGACACATTCATCTCGAACATCGAGGAATGGCTCACTCGGGGTGACAAGGTGACTGCGGTGGTCATCAGGGACGAGAAGAAGGACCGCAGGGACCGGCTGTCGCTCTCCATCCGCCGCGTCCGAGCTTCCCATGACGAGGAGTGAGGAAAGTCGGGGAGGACTGATCCTTGCGCCTGCCATGCGCGCAGGTGGTTTTGGTTCATCGGCCGGACAGTATGACCATTTCGTGCAGCCCTCCGCAACCCGCAACATTTTCCGCAGTCGTCTTCTCAACATCTCACACAAACGCGTCCTGAGGCAGGAGTAGCACCAGGGTGGGCAGGAGTGCACGTGCGACCTGGCCCGAGCCGGAGGAGAATCCTTGGGTGCGATCGCTGCAGACCGAGTGCCTGGCCTGCAGCCCTGCACACCTGTACGCGCTGGGCCGGCCTCCGGACATCACCGTTAGAAGGAGAAGAACAAAAAAAATGCTCCAATCCAAAGGCAGCGCCCTAATAAATGGGACCCCCCCCAAGTTACAAAAAAGGCGCCTGAAAAACTGGACCCGTGGGACGAGAAATACGGGGCTTGGAGCACGGAGAGATTGGTGACGAGGACCGGCAGCAAGTCTTGCCCGTTGTGAGCAGGAATCGCTGTCGGCGTCGCCGCGGGTGGTGCCCACTCGAGACAAAAGGTTGCCTGCCCGACAGCGGCTGCCGTCGGATTTGGACAGCAGCTTCTGCTGGGCACTGTACCCAAACTTCCCGCACTTAGCCCAGGCGTGTTAAGACGAGCAGCAACCTCGTCACCCAGGAAAGGGGCGCGCTCGTGCGGGATGACGGCGGCTGATCTCTTAGGGGCCTTCGATGGTGGGACGGTTGGCGGACGGCCTTCGGTGGTTGCTCATCTGACGCCCTGGCCCCCCCGCTCCTCAGGGCCCGTGAATCCGTGACTCCATGCGTGGACAGATACGGTCTGGTTGCCAGCGATGTTCATTTGATGGGCCTGTTTTCCACCACCACCACCACCACCATCAGTTGGAGGGGCTCCTCCTCCTCCTCCTCCTCCTCCTCCTCCTCCTCCTCCTCCTCCTCCTCCTCCTCCTCCCTCCCCCTCCAATTTCTGGTGGTGGTGGTGAAAAGCAGGCCCATCATCATTTATGGTTGGTCCTTCTGCGTGCGCCTGCCCCGCAGACGGCGCCGCGCCGCGCCCTCGGGCGCGTCCGCGGGGGCGGTCCGGGCGCCCTGCAGGATCCCGCCGCAGTGCCGTCCACGGCTGGGCACCTGGGCGGACGGAGGCGGCGCGCGGTGGTCTGCTCGGACTTCAAGGGGCTCCCGACTACAGTCGGACTTGATTGGAGAGGACGCGCGAGAGGACACAAGAGTCTTCCGAGGGCCACGTTGCCACAGGAATGTAGGGTCGCGCGGCGCAGGACACAAGGGTACCCTTGACTTGGCAGGGTCGACCTACTAATCCCGGCCGACTGTACGAGCGAGGAGAGGAGCGCTGCTGCGGGGCCACGCACAAGTGCGCGAGCCTGTGGCGAGGCGTTGTCGCCATGAGGGAGGAGCTCGGGCCCGAGTTCCTCAGCTGGACCACCAGTGCTGGACACCTGTTCCGTTGTTGCGTTACGCTCACCCGTCATGGGTGTCGTGTTCAAGAGTTCAACTGTGTGGAGGAACGGATGTTGGCAACTGCTCGAGCTGCTCGAGCGATCCCTCGAGGTTCCCGTGCGCCTGTGGTCGTGACGCACGGGGGCTGCAGTGAGGTGGCAAGGTGGCGTGCTCTCTCATGGGGCTCGCTTGCAGCTAGTTGCTTGCACCTCAAGCTCTACAGCGGGATAGCGGATGGAAGGTCGGGCATGTCCTATAGTAGGGGTTTTGTTTGGCACGCGTCCACAATAGTTGAATTAACCATACCCCTGGCAGGTGCGAATAGGAGTGGGGGGTGGTCTAGGTTCTTCGCGGCGGTTCGGAAGACGTCTCGAGGCGATTGTTCGCCTGCAGATCCAGAGGAAAAGGAAGATGAGGCAAAAGAGGACTCGCGGTGACAACTTGGAGGTTGAGAATTCGGCCGGATCAAGGACCATGGTTACGTTTCTCCCTTATTAATTAGACGTTGCTAACCGGGTGGGTTTGATCTTGGTTATGTGTTGCCTTCGTTGGGTTCCTCTGTGCTGGTTCCTTGGGTTGGTCTTGGTTCCTTGTTGCGTTGCTCTGGCTCCTGGATCTTGGTTTCTTGCTGCGCTTGTCGGGTTCCGTGGGCTCCCTTGGTCTCGGCCCCTTTGCTCTTGGGCGTTTGTTCCGTGCTGCGTGACAAGCAATGCCAAAGAACGCCAGGCAATGCCAAGCACTGCCAAGCCAATTCGAAGAAGTGCCAAGCAATGCCAAGCAAAGCAAAGCAGTGCAATGCAATGCCAAACAACGCCAGGTAAAGCCATGCAACGCCATGCAATGCCAAGGAATACCAAGTCCATGCCGGGCATGCCAAGCAACGGCTAGCAATGAAAAGCAACGCAAAACGTTGCTAGGGTATATTGGTCTGGACCCCTTTGCTACGTTACAAGTAATGCCAAGCAACGCCACGCATTGCCGAGCCAGTGCCAAGCAGCTCCGAGCCAACCAATGCAAAGCAATGCGACGCAATGCCCAGCAACGATTCCAAGCAACGCCAAGCAACGCAAACCACTGCCAAACAACGCAGCAATGCTTTGAGACGCATTATGTTACATTGCTCAGAAAGGCTTTGGATTGCACTGGGAAAAGAGACCCCTAACTGGGGCCGCACGGGGTGCCTTGTTCTGCCACAAGAGAGTCGCTGAAGAGTCCGCCGCAGGGGCAGACTCTTGCGCAGTTCGAGCACGCACCGATGATTGAGAGGGAGACACCCACCCCAGGCGCAGGATGTGTGCAAAGCCCATGAAGCAGAAAGCCGATCAGAATGTGTGCGCCTCTGCGCGCCCCAGAGCAGCGCCACCGTTGGCACGCGCGGCGACGGGCCCCAGAGCCCCCTCCGCACCTCATCCCCGGGCGTTGCGGAATGGGGGGGCGATACATTGGGTGGGTGGGCGACAAGAAGGTGCCGTGCCTGTGCCACACAGGGCCCTGTCTGGGGCTCCCAGGAGCCCACAAGGGCACGAAAGCTGCACGTCTCACGCTTCCCCCACCCACCCCACTGATCCCCCCCCACTTGAGCAACGCCCAACCTCCTCCTCCAGTCTCCTCCTCCTCCTCCTCCTCCTCCTCCTCCTCCTCCTCCTCCTCCTCCTCCTCCTCCAGTCTCCCCCTCCTCCTCCTCCTCCTCCTCCTTCTCCTCATGCGGTCTCCTTCTCCTCCTATTCCTCCTCATAATCATCATCACCACCACCACCATCATCATCATCATCATCATCATCATCATCATCATCATCATCAGCATCAGCATCATCATCATCATCATCATCATCATCATCACCACCACCATCATCATCATCATCATCATCATCATCATCATCATCATCATCATCATCATCATCATCATCATCATCTCCATCATCATAATCCCGTCTCGTCTTTCTCCTCTTCCCTCCTCCTCCTCCTCCTCCTCCTGCTCCTCTTCCTCCTCCTTCCTCGGTCTCCTTCTCTTTCACCAGTCTCCCCGTGCTCCTCCTCCTCCTCCTCCTCTTCCTCCTCCTCCTCTTCCTCCTCCTCATCCCGCATCGTCGTCGTCCTCCTCCTCTTCCTCCTCTTCCTCTTCCTCCTCCCTCCTGCTCCTCCTTCTCTTTCTTCTGTCTCATTGTCTCCCCCTCTTCCTTTTTCCGCTCTCCTCCTCCTCTCTTTCCTCTTCCTCCACCTCCTCCTCCTCCTCCTCCTCCTCCTCCTCCTCCTCCTCCTCCTCCTCCTCCCTCTCCTCAGGCCTCGTCACCGTTGGGCTTCGAGGGCCCTTCCGAGGTTGCCGCCCGGGACCCAGCGCCCCGCGAGGTGCCACCCCGAGCCCGAAGGGCCGCCGTCTCGGACGTTGTGGACCCTGAGCGGCTCCTGGCGTCTCAACGGGTGAGGTTCAGGTCGGAGGCCGAGCAGCGCAACCTCGACCTTGCGGCAGCGTGCGAGCCATGCGCCAAGGCCGCACGCGCGCCAGGCTTCCGAGGAGCCGGCGGCGCCTCTCCCACCTCCCCTCCCTTCCGAAGGGGTCGCCATCAAACGCCAGCCTGTCTCGGGCCAGGAGTCAGGGGGGATGGCGGGGAGGACGGCGACGACGAGGGGCGTGGGGGCGGCGGCGCGGGAACTTGGGGGGATGCACGCATGCACGGCCGCAGGGGAGAGCGGGCTGGCGCGTCCGTGCTGGCTCCTCCTGGGGCCCATCGGGGCCTGCCTCCAGGGCACGCTCTTCCGGCCAGGGGCTGTCCAAAAGTTGCCCCCCACTGCCACCTCGACCGACTCGGCCAAGCTCCAGCAGGAGCCTGTCAGAGCGGACGGCGACGACGCCGCCGTCGGCGGCCGCCGTCGGCGACTCTCCGCGGGCAGGTCGTGCGTGGCCGCCGCGGCACCGGGGGCGGCCGGCGCCCCCGGCGCCCCCGAGGCAGGAGCGGCGCCGCAGGATGCCCCGACCCCTCTCGCGCCGCCAGGGGGCCGACCGCCGCCGCCGCCGCCGTCCGCCGCGCCGCGGCCACGGTCGCCGCCGTCGCCGCCGCGGCCACGGTCACCGCCGTCGCCGCCGTCGCCACCGCGGCCGTCGCGGCCGTCGCGGCCGCCGCAGCCGCCGTCATCGTCGTCGTCGTCGTCTTCGTCGTCGTCGCCGTTGTCGTGGTTGTCGTCGCCTCGTCCCACGGGGAGAAGGAGGGCTCGGCACGGATCGGATGGAGGCTCATCGTCAGCCTGTAGAGAACGCGAGTATGAAACGCACGCGTCGTTGTCCACGTGCATAAAGCGCCTGCGGGCAAGCGCCGGAGGGAGGCTGCGTTCAGAGGAACACCGAATCCTACAACGACAGCGGCATTTAGGAGCAGGAGGAGGAGGAGGAGGAGGAGGAGGAGGAGGAGGAGACTGGCGGAGGAGGAGGAGGAGGAGGAGGAGGAGGAGAAGGAGGAGGAAGAGGAAGAGGAGGTCGGTAACGATGTTGGCTCAACCTGGGCTGGCTGTTGCCACTCTGCGTCTTTCACCCCCTGGGATGGCTGCGGCGGGCCGCCC